TCTCATTAATTACTCATTTTAATATTCAATATATTTATTATCTCATTTTTCAAAGCATCCTTCTTTTTATTTTAGTAATTTTCTTGTTCTCTCTCTTATATTCTCTCACGGTCCCAAACCATAAACAAGGATATTTTGAGCAACAATTTACAATTTTTACAGATTATTATATTTAACCAGTTTTATCTATCTTTTTTTTTTTTTGGTAAGGTGTTTTTTATCTATCTTTTAATCTCCGTAATTTGGTCAACTATTTTTTGTAAAAAATAGATGGAGGGAGCGCTTGTTAAAATGAATGACCTCTATTTTTGTACCACTTAGAAATCTTCACAAACACTTTAGACGCAAGTGAACATTATGATGTCAGATGCCTCTTCCCGAATATTCCGTGGTTTGATTGGCACCTTAAATCAAGTCTAATTTAAGATCAGCAAGCAAACGGCCAAGCCAGTAGTAAGCACTTCAAATTGAGTTCAAATCCTTTGGCTGCCATTACCCAAAAGGCCTTCAGCTTCCTTAAAAGTGAGTCCAAATCTTTAAGTTAATGATGTTCTTGTCCATTATCATCCCACAAGCATTTTCCTTATCCTTCAACTTCACTAGCTTCAGTCCCACTGATAGCAGCATAATCTATGAAGGTTCAGCGGCCCCTGAAAATTGTCATTCTTCTCACTCCCAACCCACAAAGGGATTAACAAAAACCGGTCGAGCCGTTTATTACAACCCATGAACCTCACATATTTCACTGCCCATTTCTCCTTCAAGATTGATTCACTGAACAACGGTAAATATGGAGATGGGCTTGCTTTTTTCCTTGCAGATTCTGGTTCTAAGCTTCCACATGACACACAGGTGGTGCAATTGTCCTTGGGGATTCCCATTTGAACTCAATAGACCATCCTTTCGTTGCTGTTGAGATTGATATTCACACAAATTTCTGGGATCCTCCCAATGAACAAGTGGGTGTGCATGTTAATTCTTTGAGTTCAATTGCCGCTGTGACTTGGTTGGCTGATATTAAAAGAAGCAAACTCAGCGAGGCTTGGTTTCGTTACAATTCTAGTTCCAGAAATATGAGTGTTGTGTTCACTGGTTTTGGGAATGGCACCATTCTCTGCAACACCTTTCTTCCATTGTTGATTTTAGATGTTATCTTCCCGAATGGGGGAACTTTTGGTTTCTCAGCTGCTACAGGAAATGCATCTTCTATACATAGTTTATATTCATGGGATTTTAGCTCAAATCTAGATGACAGCATAAAAATGACTGACAGTCAGAGAAGAAAAGGCAAGTAGAACTATTGATTAGTGACCTTTGGCTTGTGGAAGAAGGACAATGAAGAGTTAGAGGACAGTCATGGATTTAATGGGTACATGGATGAAGAATTTGAGATAGGAACAGGTCCCAAAAAGTTTAAATATGCTGAATTGGCGAGTGCTACAAATAATTTCAAAGATGATAAGAAACCAGGACAAGGAGGACTTGGGGCTGGTTATAGAGGTCTCTCAAAGACTTGAATTCCCATGTTGCCATTAAGAAGATATCGGAGAGTTCTAAACAAGGGACGAAGGAGTTTGCTTCAGAAGTGAGAATTGTAAGTCAACCGAGGCACAAAAACTTAGTCCAACTAATAGGTTGGTGTGACAGAAGAAAAGAACTTTTGCTTGTTTATGAGTACATGCCAAATGGAAGCCTAGATTTTCATCCCTTCAACAGTTAAAGCTTGTTGAATTGAGAAATAAGATATAAAATAGCTCAAGGCTTGGCATCAGTATTACTGTACCTACATGAATAACAGGAGCAATCTGTAATTTATAGAGACATCAAATCAAATAACATCATGCTAGACTCAAATTTCAATCCAAAAGTTGGGAATTTCGGGTTAGCTAGGCTGGAAGATCATGCAAAAAGGTCTCAAACCGCTTCAGCTTTGGCTGGAACCAGGGGCTACATGTCTTCTGAATATCTTAACTTTTGCAGGGCTAGTAAGGAATCCGATGTATACAGTTTTGGGACTGTCATTTTGGAGATAGCTTGTGGAAGAAACCCATTGACCCCACGACTTCAGAAGATGAAATTTTTATGGTGAAATGGGGGTGGGGTCTTTATGGAAGTGGGAGATTCTTGACGCTGCTGGTTCAAGACTAAATGGGGATTTTGAGACATCACAGATTCATCTCTTGATGGTTACTGGTCTCTGGTGTGCTCGTCCTGATCATTATAGTAGACCTTCAATAAGACAAGCAATCCAAGTTCTTGACTTTGAAGCTCCACTTCCCTGTCTTCCAACAAGTTTGTCTGTTCCAACATATATTCAACATTCAATGAAGCAATCTGAATTGTAAAACCAAGACATAAATTTTCGTTCCTCTGATTTTTCAACTTTGTACCCCCGCTAGAAGCTGATTCCTGAGTTTTCTGTGTAATTCACATTTGTTGGATGATGGCCATTTCTCATTTGAGTAAATAACATCTGAATTAGTTCATGCTTCTTGCTTTACCAAATCATCAGGGAGATTTAGAGCTTATTTCAGGTGGAAATCTTTCCATTGTTGACCAGAAAAGCAACTTTCATATTAGCCCAATTTTACATGTTTCAAATTCTGCTTCCATAAATTGTAATGATAGAGCCTAACAACATACACTCTGAGATCAGTGGCCTCACTGGCAGTTAAATTCATTAGGCATCAAATTAATGTCAGTAAACTAATGAAACTATTGCAGACATGGAAACTGTAATATTCTAGATACATAATAAGTATTCCTGGATATTCAAGAATCTTCCTCACTTCAATAACTGGTTTTGAGCTTCTTAATTACTGGATCACATAATAAATATATACGTGCAGACACACATTATCTGATCACTCATAATATGCGTATTAATATTCCGTTTGATACAAGGAAAATCTGCTAATGGAAAAGGAAAATAGCATATTTTCCTTTGGCTTGACATGTTTGGCAGGCGGAAAAGAAATTCCTGAGAACCCATTTTCATTCGTACAAGCTGGGGAAGCCTCTATCCAGTTGACAAGTCCCTATTTTATCGTGAAATTTTGCATCTTGTTTGGGGATTTTGTTATGTTGAAGAGAGCTTAAGTGCTGCCTTTATGATTAATCATACTCGGGGTCGACTGCATGAGATTAGGGGTAAAATGGGCAAAACGAAGACATATATTATTTTCCCTTGACACATAATTTTGGGATGATTGATATTTGATCTTTCATTCAATTGGATTGCATTTTATGTACTTTGGAGAAAAAATGATGATTGGAAGCTAAAATATGAAACACTACCTCCGATCCTAATTATAAGACCCAGTTGATTAATTTGAGGAGATTAAGAAAAGAAGTTAAGTTAGTTATTTGTAATAAATAAGTGTTGTCTTTCCTAAAATATTCTTACTAATCAACTATATTGACCAGAAGTATAATTATTAGAACGACTATTTTGGAAAAAATGTATAAATATAAGAGATAAAGTAGATTAGAGTCTTATATTTAGGATCAAAAAAAAGTCAAACAGAGTCTTATATTAAGGACCAAAGGTAGTAGCAACCAAGGACTTGAATTTAAAAAAAAAAAAAAGTCTCCAGCCTTGATACTTGATAGACATTTGGCTTCGTTCGGCATAAAGTATTCAGGTGGTTGGGATTGGCATTGGTATTGGCATTTATTATTTTAACATATTTGGTACGGAGCATTAAACAGTTTTTGGAAATACATAATACTCTCTAGATGGGATTGCACAACACTACCACCTTTTAAGGCATTGGAAAATTGTTTATGGGGTCGAGCATTATTTCTACTAAATTATCCTATATAATATTTCACAAACTCCTATTTTGATTTATTAAAGGGTTATAAGTCTTCATATAATCTATGAATAATTATAAAATAAAACTAATATAAACATTCTCTTGAATTTTTTTTTATTAAAGTATAGGTATTCTTCTATCGAAAATAATCATATTTAAAGCATTATCAGGTAGTAAATGTAGATATATCTCCTATGGGGTTTTCTCAAATGTTACTTATACCAAATGTAATTTTAAAGTCTCACTCTTACTCCCACCTCCATAAAATTCAAGCCTACGTACGAAATACATGGCCCGCACTTTGCGATCTCCGTCCAAGTTCATCATCAAAAAGTCTTTTGAAAAGAAACATGTGAAACGCATATGTGGGGCATGTATATTTAATATGCACTTTTAGTAAGTCCACGTCTCAATCCAGGCAATCGCAACATTTTGAGCCAGTCATCTCAATTTAATAGCTTGGTATGGTAGTTATCGGGACATTGTAGTCAAATGCTGATATTTGATCACAGTTTTGGGTTGAAAAGCAAACCATGGGTCTTGGTCCTTTTAAAAGTTTTCCTGAATCCAAAATATGAGTCCCATTTATCCAAACTATGAATTATTTTCCTTATTTACTCTTACCATTAAATGTGAAAGACTTAATTCATGTGAGAGAGTTATCATAAAATTTAATAAGAGTATTAGTAGAGACTACAATAATTTTGTATTTTGATAAATTTATTGAGTTAACTCATTTTTAATTCCCTTTTTTATGCTTAAAACAACGGTTGATTTGATTGTTTTAAACCAATTTTTCTAGTACTTCAAAATTATTATAAAAATATTAATTTTGCGTTATAGATAATATATTAAACACATAGAGATGCGAGCAGTTTATCAAGAAAGCAAATAAAAATGGGTTAATTCAATAAATTTATTTTTTTAAAAAAAAGATATGAGCAATTTATATAAGCAACTCCTCCATTTTAATCCAATTAACGTAAATACGTTTTTGAAGCTTAACAAATTGAATTTTTATTTCTCTTCCAATATAACACGTTAGATACACACTCAAATTCTCTTTCATGCACCACCTGGTCACTTCCCTGGTATAAAATTCAATCTCAAATTCTCTTCTGCAGCTCTTCCCATTTCCAAGCTATTTGAAGAGATCTAGTGGGGATATTAGCCTCCTGAACCATGGCAGCTAGCCAATACATTAACAATCTTCCTCCCAATTATCTTCCTTGTTTGGAACTCATTACCACCATAACCCTGTTATTCTTTCTCACATACCCTTCTGTTTCTTCACTTTCCTTCAACTATGAACAATTCAAGAACAGTGATCCAACATTGGAACCTAAAGGAGACGTTCACTGGGAAAATGGATGCCTGAACCTCACTAAGTTAGAGAAAGACAGCGTAGGGAGAGTCACCTACAGCGGAAATCTCCATCTTTGGGATGAGATGACAACAGGGGATGAGATGACAAGAAAAGTCACGGATTTTTCTTCCCATTTCTCCTTCATCATCAATACACAAGGCAAGACCACCAATCTTGGAGATGGCATAACCTTCTTCCTTGCCGCACCAGGCTTTCCCCTTCCGGATCCTAAAGATGGAGCCGGAATTGGCCTCGTGAGTCGTCTGCAATTGAAAGATCCAAATTACAGAAAGCAGCATCCTTTTGTGGCTGTGGAGTTTGACACCTTCCCAAATGTTGATTTGGATCCTCCTTATGATCATGTGGGGATTGATATTAATTCTCTGAACCCAAGTTATACTAAAAAGTGGTTCACTGTCAAGGATGGAAGAAAATACGATGCCATGATCAAGTACAATTCAAGTTCTTTCAATTTGAGTGTAAGTTTTATTGGGTATGAGAACGGCTCCAGAATTGAACAGAATTTCTGTCATATTGTCAATTTGGCTTATGTTCTTCCAGAGTGGGTTGAGTTTGGATTCTCTTCTGCAACAGGTTATTTACATGATGAGATCCATACTCTTTGCTCTTGGTCCTTCAGTTCAAGTTTAGACATCGTAGATCCGAACAATCAGAGCAAGATAGGACTTATAGAAGCATTGATCATAGGAGGAGGTGTTTTAATATGTGGAATGGGGTTATTTTGGTTTATAATTTGGAATACCAGAAGACGAAGAGGAGGAAGAATTGGTGCTTTTGGCTTTGAGCTAATAAGCATGGAAGATGAGTTTCAGAGAATGACAGGGCCGAATAAGTTTCCATATAATCAGCTTGTCAAAGCAACCGACAACTTTACACAAGAGAATAAGCTTGGAGAGGGAGGATTCGGTGGGGTTTACAAAGGGTTCATAGAAGAATTGAATAGCTATGCTGCTATTAAAAGGATATCACAAGGATCTAAGCAAGGGGTGAAGGAGTATGCGTCAGAGGTCAAGATCATCAGCCAACTGAGGCATAAGAATCTGGTTCGACTGATCGGTTGGTGCCATGAGCACAATGACTTAATGCTGCTTTACGAGTTCATGCAAAACGGAAGCTTAGATTCTCATCTCTTCAAAGGCAAAAGTCTCTTGACATGGGAACAAAGATATAACATAGCTCAAGGCCTGGCCTTAGCATTATATTACCTTCATGAAGAGTGTGAACAATGTGTGGTTCATAGGGACATAAAAGCAAGTAATGTTATGTTAGATCCAAAATTCAACGCAAAACTTGGAGATTTTGGGCTGGCTAGACTGGTGGACCATGCAAAAGGGTATAAAAGAACAGATCTAGCAGGAACCTTCGGATATATGGCTCCCGAGTACATCTCCAAAGGAAAGGCCAGTAGAGAGACTGATGTGTATGGTTTTGGAGTCGTCGCTTTGGAAATTGCTTGTGGGAGAAAAGCAATCCAATTTAGTGCCAATGAAGAACGGGTTTTACTTGTGGATTGGACTTGGGAACTCCATAGCAGAGAAAGTGTTCTTGAAGCAGCTGATCAGAGATTGTGTGGAGACTTCAACGAGCAAGAAATGCAGAGGTTGATGATGGTGGGATTATGGTGTGCTCATCCAGATCATATTCAAAGGCCTCCTATGAGACAAGTAGTTCAGGTGCTTAATTTTGAAGCTCCTTTACCTAATCTGCCATCCCAGAAGCCTGCACTTCCAAATGATTCTGTTGGAATCAGTGACTTTATATCTTCAAACTCTTCGTCAAGTACTAGTGCTTCGAGGATCAATCGTACCTTCCCTTTAAGTGATGGCTTTTTCACTGGCTCATCACAATCAAGCATTTCTCCAGCAGACCCCATTCTGCATACATACTAAATTGAGACGAAATCTGTTCTTATAATCTTTTATGTAGTCTTTTCTGCTGGACATGAGAATTGAGATTCTTTTTTTGTTTCACATTTCATCTGTAGTTCTGGCAAATTGCAGGTAGAGAGCTAATTATCTGAGAGGAAAGTATTAGAACCTATTTTAGGACTAAGAATATTCATGGGAGATCATGAAAAAGAAGTATATAGAACAAAATATAGCACTTGGGCCTTAGTGAGGACGGCCACCAAGTTCTGTAATTTGACATCAGAAAAATGAGAATTCTGAAAAGCTAACTCTGTTAGGCGAATGAATGCCAAGACTTAAGTATCACTTATGATCTCTTTTATTGCATAAACAATGGAGGGGATTATAAGATTCGGATAGCCTGATAGTAGCTGAGAAAGAAAGTTAAAAGAAGCTTAGTGGTTTATTATTATTATTTTTCTAACCTCTTAGTGAGGAAGCGGGTTATAAGCTCAGTAAGAACACAAGGAGAAAACAGATGAAAACAAGATTAACTAACTAGTACCGATGCAATAAACTAATACAATATCTCAACCCTCCTCACCACTTGTTTCCTGCTCTTGTTATACAGGAAGCAACAAGATGCCAGCCTCCGGAACACCAATTCAATTTCCATAGCTATTTTTGTAAATGTAAATATGGAGAAGGACCTTAGAACCAAAGGGTTTCCGTCTGAGTAGGAGTAATATAAAGTATATGGACTGTAAATTTGATAGAAGGCAAGTTAGGAATGATTTCAAAGTAAAAATGAGAAATCAAATCGTACCATAAGTGACAACATCCAGGTATTTGAGATAGATTATACAAACTAGTTGTGAACTAATGAGAATGTTATAATATTGAATAAGAGCTGTGTGATTCAATTGGAAAAACGTTATAAGAGTTATTTGAGTGAAAAGTACTTAATAAGTTTAAAAAGAAGTTTTATCTGACTATTTTAAAACTAATTATGCAGCATGTCTCCAAATATTTGGTAATTGACAAAGCATAGGTCGTTTGATCTATGTAGCCAATCTCATCTAGTGGGGTAAAACTTATAATGGTAAACTCAAATTAGAGTAGCTTCAAGCAAATTTCAGTTCAGTTTGGCAAACTTTAAACCAAAGACACACTATATTTCTGAAACTACTTTCCCAATACAGTTTCAGTTCTTCCATAACTCACCGTAGGTTCAGTTTCTACTTCATTACAGATAAGGACATTGAACAGTATCTCAAAAGAAGGCGTACAATAGATATCAACCAACATTCAAAATGCTCATCCATTCTTAGAGGGAAGTACAAAAAATCAGAACGGGTTTAGCAGTAAATATTTAAGATGTTCTAAAAATTTTCTTTATACAAATTTCATGTGAACTTAAAGGGAAGCCTTAGAGCAACTGGTTAAGCTGCGGTATCAGCCTTTAAGATCCGGCCCTTCACTGGGACGACCTTGTGCACCTGGCTGTCCTTTAATAAATTTCATATGAACCTGCTTATGAAAAACCCATCTTTTTTTTTTTAATTGAAAAAAAAAAAAAACCATACTTTACCTCACTCAATGAGGAGTAGTTGAGATTTTAGGTGGGTAGCTTCGATTATTGTTTTCTTCTTCTCCTTCTTCTTCCCACATCACCTATACCTAACCGCCGTCTTCAATTTTTATGTGTATAATATACTACCTCCAGTCCTAACTTGACTAATTTGAGAAGATTAAAGAAAGAAGTCAAGTTATTTGTAATAAATATGTGTTGTCTTTCCTAAAATATCTTTGTTAGTTAAGTGTATTAATTAGAGCTACTATTATTAGAAGAACTATTTTGAAAAAAATGCATAAATATGAGAGACAAAATATATTAGGGTCTTATATTTAATACCAAAATAAAAGTCAAACGACATCTTATATTAAAAATCGGAGGTAGTACTCTTTCGATCTTTAATATAGGACTTAATTGTTGAGTTGATTTTGGTTCTAAATATAAAATTCATTTCTCATATTTTTATCAGTTTTCTCTAAATTACCTCTATGGATACTCTCTCAACCATAATCAAGTAGAAGAGGAAGAGGGGGTATTAAGAAAGATGATTATGGTATTTTAAGAGAAACGTATCACATTTCTTATAATTAACTAACTTACCTAATTTTCTTAATCTAATCAAATTAGTTAAATAGATCTTATATTGAGGACCGAAGGAGTATCTTACAAGACTTGAGATTTATTTATTTTTTAAATTTTCTTCTCTTGGTTACGTAATGCGTATATTTGAGTTTAAAATAGGAAAAATCCCACAAAAAAAAAAGTCCTTAGAATATGGGAAATTTCAGATTGGGTCATGAAATTTCGAAAATGACAGAATGGGTCAGTGACCCAATGTGTCATTTGTCAAATTAAGAGGAATTGACAACTTTGATCTCATTTGCATTCATTCACTACAATGATTTAAGGAATCATTATAAGGGTTTAGGTGTTACCTAGATTCGTGTAGCGAATAACTACTCACTTTTTCATAGTCAGGTGTCTTGTTATTAACTATAACTAATTTTGTAATCACTAGAACAATGTAAGCATTACATATATTTGTGTAGAGAATAACTACTCATTTTTTATAGTCAGGTATCTTATTATTGTCAGGTATCTTATTATTACAACTAATCTTGTAATCACTAGAACAGTGTAAGCGTTACCTAGATTTGTTTAGAGAATAACTACTCACTTTTGCTTAGCCAGGGGCAAAATTGTCAATTTGCCTTAATTTCACAAATGACAATTAGGTCAATGACCCATTCTGTCATTTTCGAAATTTAAGGACCCAATCTGAGATTTTGTATATTCCAAAGGCTTTTTCTGGGATTTTCCCTTTAAAATACCCATATTTGTGGTCTTAGAAAAGGAAAACATGCGTTGTTATTACTTATGACACCAGTAATAATTTTCTTACAACTGGTTTAAAAAAAAAATTCTTACAAGGTCAACATAATAATGATTTTTCTTAAAAGATTACGTCCATAGTTTGTGACGATTTGTTTTGAATTTTAAACCTTTTATAATATGGAAAAAATTAGCAGAATGTTATTAAAAAAAAAAAAGATTGCGCATCACTTATGCAGTTATGCTCTCAAATGTCATTGCAGAAGATACCAGTGAACCCCTTAGTCGTTTAAAACGGGTTTATCATGGTATATTCTTTTACTATTGTTGTTGTTATTTATTCCCAAAAAAAAAATGTGGAGACGAGTTAGACAAATTAAAAGAATAAAAAAGATCAGTAAAGCTTTACATTTTTCGATTTATGAATATTGTGACTTCCTTTTTTTATATTTGTTATTATTGATTATTAATGTTGATTTATCAATTAAAAATAAAAAATAAAATGTATACCAAATTACAGAATTCACACTGATTTGTTGATACAATTATACTTTTAAATGGTCGTGCTTATAACAAATTTATAAACTTAAATAGCACACTTTGGCAAATAGTTATATCACAATATGCAAATATTTGATACTCATTCCATGATAATTTTGGCCCTGAAAATAAAAAAACAAGATCATGGTTATTCAACTATAATTAATGATATGATTTCATAATTTTGGCGAAAAATTATAACTAAAATTTTTCTGTAACTGCAAGCATTAGGAATATTGAAATTCTGGCAGAAAATTACCTTTGATTGATTATGAAAGAAAATAATAAAGAGAATCTATCTATTATATTTAAAAGAAACAATTTAAAACGTTATTACCTACTCCTTATTATCAGTATTATTACGGCCATTTAATTTTAATAATTTGATGTAACGGTAATACAGTAGTACATATCATATGTACCCCACCTCTGTTTGTCCGCCTCTGAACTCGCCAGTCCGCTCACTCTTCGTTATCTCTTCTCTCTCTCTAGTCATAAGCCTCCCCACTTCATGCTGATGCTTATCCATTTTTTGCCTTGAAAAGCTGAGATTTTTTTTCTTTTTTTTTTGGGAGATTCGTTCCTTTCCTCTTTCACTCTATATTTGTCGGAATTTCCTACCGCCAGATGCAGATTCCGGGTCGTTACTGTGTGTTGGTTTCTGTATGCTCTGTTATTGAGTTGTATGTTCTCCGAATTATGGTGGGGTTTTGGGTGATGGACGTTGCTTCGATTTTGAAGTTTTTGAATAAGGCGAGTGAAACTGGATTTGGGTTTTTCCTTCGAGGAAGTTTCTTCCGGGTTCTCAATGGATTGGCGATGCTATTGATTTTTATGCTGTGTATGAAGTTTTTGCATTTTGGTTGGCGTTTCAAGGGTTTGATGCGTTTTCTTAGTGAATTCGGATCGAAACCCAGAAATGGGTTTTGTTTTAAGGATGGCGTCGTTGAAGTCTGTGCCTCGATGATCACACATTTGAAGTGTAGCCCACTGGAATCTTCTCTGAATCCGAATGTAAACAAAAACAAATCAATCTCTGGCAAAGAGAACGCGAAATCCAACGATGATGCTGACACATATTTCGATATCTCTGAAGAGAAACACGATAATGAAAGTGAAGTTCATGATGAGGATCAGGAAATCGACGTAATAACATTAAGAAAACTGGTGAAGACTGAAAGGAAGCGTGCAGATTCAGCCTATGCAGAGCTTGAGAGAGAAAGGCGAGCTTCTGCAACAGCAACAGAGGAAGCAATGGCGATGATTCTTCGTCTTCAGAGTGAGAAAAGTTCAGTAGAAATGGAAGCAAATCAATTCCGCAGAATAGCAGAGAAGAAGCAACAATATGCTCAAGAAGTGATTGAATCATTACAGTGGATTATTATGCAAAACGAATCTCAGATTAGTCTGTTGGAAGATAAACTGATGCTGCATAGAGAAAAAATGAGACAATATGTGAATGAAGATGAAATGGAACAGTTTGAAGAGCCTCACGGTGATGATGATGCCCATAAGGCCTTTCCAGATTTCTCTGTGGATGATGATCAATATGACCCACTAATTAGCTGACTTGAAATGTAATAACAGAACTTGTAAGTACTGAAGTTTTCTTGCTATACAGAATATATTCAGCTCCGTTTTCTTCTGACCTGTTTTTGTTCACAAATGTATATTGTACTTACTCATAACAGCGATCATTAATAATAGAGGAGGCTTATATAAATTTGTCATATACTTTTTTCTCTTGTGACAACTTTTTCATATCTTCTCCTTTCATGGGTAATTGATCTCAACTTTGTAAATGGATTTCACTGAAGCACTTCACACAGCGAGTATGCTAGTCACTTATGTTTTGATTTTTGAGATTCTCCATCAAGCAATATATAAGCCTTCTATGACTATGTGTCTATAAGTTAACGTTCAAAACAAGTGAAAGCTGGGAGAAGAATTGGAATTCTTATAGCGGGATATACTCTGTCAGTGACTGTGAAGCGGTGAGATAATGAATTACAACGTCTTTATCATGTATTCAATAAAAGACCATCATGAACAAACATGTCAATATGCTACCACAATTTTATTCTGCGAGACTCGTTTAACAGATGTTTATGCATTGGTTTGAAGGTTGGCTTGATACGTAATGAATTTTTTTTCATCTCTCTTGCAAGAAACGTGGTCTCAGTTTATTGTTAGAAGGACATGTCATCTTGAACTCCGGCAAACAAGGCTAGATTCAGTTCTAGAAAGGAGTAAAGCAAGTTTAAACCAAAGTGAGGTATCAATATTAATACTATAACAACAAGCTTTATGTCATCTAGTGGGATAAGACTACATTGATCGCATGACGCCATTGTAGTACATCAACAGCCAAATTTTTAAATGTATTATTGATTAAAAAGTCTCGTTCAATAACCTAATTAAATGTTCTTCTTGATCTTCCTCCGTCTCTTATAAGTTAATATTAATACATAAATGTAAAATATATGATAAAACATCAAACTACTTATAAGTCACAACTCATTTTAAATTCGTTTTGAAACATGGGGCCCAGCATCTAATTGATTGAAAAAAGAAATATATCGAATAGATATAGCAACATCTCGTTTTTTTTTTCCTGATAAACATAAACTAATCAACTTTTGCTATTAGAAAAAGTTAAAAGACCACACCAACATCGGAACTAATTGTCTTAGGATTCCAAAAATTATTGACGTTACCATTAGACTTGAATTATTTTTAACACTTGTGAATCTCCTTCCAAGACTGGTGATCTCCTTCCGAGACTTATTTAAGTAAGTGATGAACCCCTTGTTGAAGCACGCCATATTCAGGTCTGAACTGCCAACACCCAAAAGATCCTGTTCCTCACAGATCCCACCATAGAGCTTTTCCAGATAGCGGCATTAACGCTTATCTCTCCTTGTATATTGGAATCTGGCAGCCACCCAAGTGACCTGACGACACTATCATTAAATCTGACCCCAATAAATTACCCAAAAAAGGGCCTCAATGAGTAACTTGCTTCGCTTCTTAATCTTATTTTTCTTCAAACTCTTACGGTCCAGCCTCCTGTTCCTGTCGCAGGACTATAATTATGAATAGCCACCTTGGTCTGCTTGTCAGTACAGCTACATCAGACCGGTCTCTAATATGCCCACAAGGTCACTAAAGTGGTTGCTTGAATCTCCTTAATGTACAGTTTGATTTCCAGCTTTCCAGATACAGAGAATTAGAATAATATGGGACTTTACCTGGCACACCTATTTTTGGTAGTTTCAGCTTCTATAACTTCATCCATAATAACTCCGCGGGCCACTGCAGATAGTGATGAATTTTACATAGGGCCACCACAGATGGTGATGAGAGTCTTTTGCATCGCTAAAGCACCATTTCTTGCTATCCTTAATACGGGCATTTTATAGTCTGCTCCCGCCTGCTGCATGAAAGAATTCAGAGCTGTTCCACAACATCGTTTTCATAACATCTAATTTCCTGCCTCAATTTGGCTGAATCCATAGCATTTCTTTAATCTTCGGAGTTTCATGAATTCTCTCCCTTGTTTTATATCATGCCAACGACCGTGTTCCGCATAAATCATATTCAACAAGGTATAATTGGCAGCATTTTCTGGTTCAGATCTTATAAGGTGTGGGGCCAGCATTTCTGCAATATCCAGTCTTCCATGAAGCTTACAAGAAGATACCAGAGAGCTCCAAATTCGTGCACTAGGTTTCATTGGCATCATTGTCAATATCTCCAAAGCATCTTCAATCTTCCCTGACCTTCCTAGAAGGTCAATTTGGCATGCATAATGCTCTATCGTTAAAGGTAATTTGAAATCTTCACTTATTTGTTTGAATAACTTCTTTCCCTCAGCTACAAGGCCAGAATGATTACAGGCAGATAAAATAGCAAGGAAACAGATGGAATCTGGCTTCACTCCTTTGTCTTTCATATCATAGAAAAGTTTTAAAGCTTCTTCACCACATCCATGCAGGCCATAGGCACTGACCAAAGTACTCCATGAAAGTGAATCTTGCTTCGGCATCTCTTGGAATATCTTGTGTGAACCATGAAAACAACCACACTTAGCATACATATCTATGAGTGCATTGCCGAGGCAGATATCAGAATCTAAGCCAAGTTTCAAGATATAGCCATGGATTCGACAACCATGCCTTAGAGAAAATAAGACAGTGCAAGCAGAAACTACAGCCAGCATTGTCACAGAGTTTGGTTCAATTCCCTCCAACATCATCTGTCTGAAAAGCTTCAAGGCACTATAACCATCCCCTCTTTGAGAATAGCTGCCGATCATTGAACTCCATAACACCACATCTCGATAACTTGACTTTTTGAAGATTAACTCAGCAAGATGAAATGATACCTCAAATTTAGAATACATATTCATAAGAGCTGATGAAAAACTATGGTCTGATTCGAACCCACTACGGAGTGCATAACCATGAATCTCCTTTCCATGCTTGACAAGGCCTAGCTCTGCACAAGCTGGTAATAAAGAAATTAATGTTACTCTATTTGGTTCAACTCCCTCACGCTGCATTGCCCTGAAAAATGCAAAAGCTTTCTCATAATCTTGATCACAACTGTACCCAGATATCATAGCAGTCCATGAGACCTCATTTTTCACCTTCATTCCATTGAATACACGCGAAGCCATTAAAGAATCATTGCATTTAAAATAGAAATCCACCAAAGCCGTTGACAGAAAAACTGACTCTTTTTCTTCCATTCTCTTGTCAGCAATAACAAGACCGTGAATCTGTCTTCCTATCCTCAAACCTATTTTTCCGCACATGGATAACAAACCAGCTAACAACTCTGGTTTGGGAACAAGATCAAAAGAGTACATCTCCTTTAACGTTTCCAAAGCTTCTATGACATACCCATTTTGTAAATAACAATTTATCATGGAATTCCAAGTGAGGCGGTCTCTGTGAGGCATCTTGTCGAACACTTTACGTGCCGATTGAGCATCTGAGAACTTGGCGTACATAGAGATGATGGAATTGGTCAAAACAGTCTCTGAATCCAAGCCTGTCTTGATAAACCCACAGTGAAGCTGGGAACCGAAACCATGACACTGTGCGAAAGAGCATGCCTTTACGACTGATGGAAGAACAGAGGAAATGGCGTAGAAGCCATCGACATGAAGCTCCTTGTAGAACTCAAGCGTTTGGTCATAAAGACCCTTTGAAACCAAACTTTTAATATGGTTTGATGATGCTGAGGAAGTTACAAGTTGCGCAAGTGGCAATGTTAGCTTCATCGGCGAAGATTCAGTGTATGCATAGCCGTTAGCTGCTCCAATTTCTGATCAGGTGTCCTAATAATTCTTGCTCTAGTTGCATTATTGGTTTTTCCATTTTACCTGATGATATTTGAAAAGATGATATAGCAATTATTTTAGACATAAAATTGATTCTCTTTCCAGTTAGAAGTTCCAATACACTTTAAACATTGAAAATTTAAAATGAAATTTCTTTTGAAAATTAATATTATCTGAGATTTATCCTTTTAATAATTAATTTTCAGAGATTAAAGGACATCAATTTCATAATTCATAGTCTTATAATCATGTAAAAAGCTACATTCGTCATCTCAAAATATTTTTTCATACATATCTAGCACTCTAAAATATTTTATGATATATCTAGCACTCTGAAATACTTTTCAAATGCTTTTAGCACTCTTAAATATCTATTTTGCCTTGATGTTAAATGTATCAAAAAATATTTTTTGGTGCATCTAAAATATTTTAGGTATTGAATGTATTAAAAAATATTTTATAATACTTATAATCTTAAAAAAAATATTTTAAAATACCAGATTTATTGTAAAATATTTTAAAATAATTACTTCCAACTGCTGTGTGCATACCTTTATCCTCGCGTAAATGCTACTTAAAATTCATAATTAATTGGTCACTAGGCGGCCCAGGCCCAATATTTGAGGGAGAACGCCTAATGAAGTTCGGTTTCGGGGCAGAATCGTCGCCGTTGACAGATACTTGACGGAGAAGTGGGATTCGTCGCCGGAGGTGACTGCGGATACAGAAGCGATTCAATACCGGTGCGTTAGTGTGCGTAGGAAGGGAAATTATTTGCTTTCTAAGGTTCGCCTTTCATATATCTGAATCTCTCTTGTCATCGAACCTTTCAACAATGCGATTATAGCTGCTGTCTTTGGCTATTGCATCTGTGAGCAGAGATTTTCGTAAGAGAGGACAATTTGCTGATTTCGGCTGTACAAATTTGTTCTTCTTCTTCTTCTTCTTTGCAAATAATTTGTTTCTTTCAATCTGTGTAACCATTTTAATGTTCCATGTATGCAAATTAATTTTCAATGCGTTCAACTTCTTCGATGCATCATACTGCAACCTTCTTCTCCTTTCGACGAAATTAATTTTAAGTTGGGTCTATTTAACACAACCATAATCCTTCTTGGGTTACTGGACAGAAGGACATACCAGCTGCTTCATATTTTGTAAGGCCAAAAAAAGACACTTAGTGAAGTTTTTGAAATAGGTCTTGCTAACAATACATCCAACGGTTGCTGACAATATAACCAATGTAGCCGACTCCACCTAATCAGATAAAGCTTCTTGTTGTTATCGTCATTATAAGTTCATTGTTATATTGTATATGCCATCTGTGATTTCATCCTTTTTATATGAGAACTCCGTTTTGTCACCTGTGGATGTGGATGTAAGAAATTACAGAACTACATTTGATTGCTTGAGCTGGATATCAGCATATGCATTAGAATAAGCATGAACTATTTTACAGGGATGCTGTTTTCTTTTCTTGCTTGATTGGTGCTCTTTTGTTCCATGGATTGATCTGACTAAGGTTTTGTTTTAATCAAATAAACTTGTTAAACTATTTTACAGGAACGCTGTTTTCATTTCTTGCTTGATTGGTGCTCTTTTGTTCCTTTGATTGGTCTGACTAAGTTTTTGTTTTAATCAAATAAACTTGTTAATTAGCAGGTACATGCTTGATTTTACTGAGCTTATTATTCACCCTTCTGTTGCACATGAATTCTAAAATTGAAATGATGATCAAGAATCATGATTTCCCAGAAATTTTTCCTTTATAAAAGGTGTTGCTGTCTTACATTGTCTCAACTTCTTGATGATCATTCCGTTGCTGAGATAACTTTTCAGGTATTGAGTCTTTTAGAGGCATGGATACTCCGAAGAACCAACAGGAGAGGCAGACTTCATCGGCTGCTACAGCCTCACCTGTTCCCTCGTGTCGAAAGAAGAAGAATGAGCAAGCTACTTTTTGGGAAGATGTGAAGGATCACATTGATGAGTTTGTCAATGCTTCTATGGAAGAACACAAGACTTGCTTTCAGAAAACCATTCAAAAGGTTTGACTCTAGAAAGCTTTTTTCCTCAGGAACTCTCGTATATTTGCATTACCTTCTGGTTTTGCCTTTGAACTGTCTTATGATATTGTGTGGTTATGGATCGTTTCAGATGTTTGGTTTGTCCAAAGTTGTTGCACAAAGGAACTCTGATGTTGCCAAAGAAGTTGAAAGCTCTCTGCCTCTTCAGACAACCGTCCAAGAGTAAAATCCAAGACTTTTGACCCTTTCGTTTGGACTATATATAAATATCCTACTTCTGGACAAATTAGAAACAAATAATCGTTAGACTTTAATTATAAGTTGGAGAGATTATATTAAAAAAATTCATAGAGAGCAATACTATTCATTAGACATGAGTGGTACCTTTCATTTTTAGACTTTATGCAATGTATAAGTCTCTTAATCTAGTACAGTTAAATGCTGGGAAGCTGTTTAAAACCAAAAAGTAAATTGAAGCAGCTTCATCTTTGGGTTTGCCAGCTATGTGCTCCTTCCCTGCTTGCTTTTATATTTACATTTCTCAATATGTCAAATGTTGAATTGGGTGCTAGGTTTTTACAAAAGGAAAAAAAAAAAAAGGGGATTGGAGGTTTGCTTAGTTTGGTAGTATAGTTTAATTTCAACAAGCCGGTGTCTTGCTATTGAGAAGTGAGCAGTTTCATGACAGACTTGGATTCTCTCCACTACCTTCCCATCCTCTTCCCCTCCACTACCCTTCTTTTCTCTTCACAACCATTGGATCAAAATTCCAATGGTCCAAATTTAACATCTTATAAAAATAATGTTATTAAAAAAAATAAATTTAAACTGTTAAAATCTAGTCTGAACAGTTTACAATTGTACTAAAAAAAATTTGCTCTATAATAACAGTCTATAGTTATGAACTGTTCAGATTAGATTTTAACAGTTTAAATTTATTTATCTATTTTTTATCATAATATTTATTTTGATAAAATGTTATAAAATATTAAATCTGGACCATTGGAGTTTTGATCCAATAGTTGTGAAGAGAAAAAGAGGGTAGTGGAGGGAAAGAGGATAGGAAGGGTAGTGGAGAGAATCCAATTCCGTTTCATGACACGATGCTTTATGACTAGTTGACTAGTTGTTCAGTTGGGTGTTATGAATGTCCTAAATAATGCCATGTCGAATCCAGCTTATGCATCTTTGTGGAAAGGAAGCCAATTGTTAGCAAGGCTTGTTTGGATTAATATGTTGTGCAAAAGTGAGTTTAATTATCGTAATGTGATTTACATGAAGATACTTTTTGGTCAGTTTAATATAAACTTAATTCGACAATATATTAAAATGAAAGGCCACTTTTATGAGAAAGTCAAAAGCTCCAAAAATCAGTTTTGGTTTTAACTTATTTTGGCCAAAGGGCTATTTAATCTCAAAGCCATTCCAAGCATCATTAGGGCTCAATTAGCTTTTTGGATTCGAAAGTCGGTTAAAATAACCAAAGGTCATCCAAAATAAAGCCAACTGACCCGTAATACATTAAATTTAATTTTGGCTTTGGAGTGTCAGATGAATGAATTCAATAATTACAACACAAACCCAAACCTAAACGCTTCATGAGAAGGAGAAAAGAGTGAAACGCTAATGACCTTCGGTTCTAGTGGCACCAACCTACCTAGGTCACGGATCCAAACATGTGCTATTATGTAGAAGCGTGTTTTATGTGTTAATGTATCTGTGTGTTCCCTAAGTCAAAATGCTCCCTCAATGTAAGTAATTAAATATAAATAAATCAATACAAATTATAGCAATACATTTGTTACAAAAATTGAGATATGGCTTCAAACGTTTGAATTTCACATGATTTGAAATCTAAATTAATGTAATTGGGGAGTTACCACCCTAACAAATTAATAACTAATCAATTTGCAAAAATGAGGAGTAAATGACGTTGGGTTTTTTTTGGCATTTTCAATTCATTACACAATTTTTCCCAAAAATTTTACACTTCTTACGTGGTGAAGTCTGCCAACATTAGAATTATAGGATGCACCTAATTTCATCTTTGCACCCCTGCTTTTATATATTATATAGATATCACATGCCGCCTAAATAATATACCACCATCCAAATTAACTAAGAAATATGAGATATATAAAAGATAACCAATAATATTTCATGTTTGAATAAAATCTTTAATTCTTTTTAACATATATGATACATTATATGTTTAATTATTTCTAATCCCTTTTATTGTTAAACAATTTTTAAGATAAATGACTGACCAAATTCGAATTCAATGCCTTGTTTTTGTTTTGGATTCGCCGGCAAAAGGCGCGCGCACTGTTCACCCAGAATGTGGATATGATTTCAACGAAAACAAAAAACCAAACAGCAGCATGAGTCAAAACAGAAAACAGCATATTCTTAACTTCAATATTTAATACTCCTCCGGTCCTTAATATAGGACCCAATTCTTAAGTTGGTTTTGGTCCTAAATATAAGACTCATTTATCATATTTATCAATTTTCTCTAAATTACCCCTATGGATACTCTCTCAACCATAATCAAGTAAAAGAGGGAGAGGGGGTATTAAGAAAGATGATTATGGTGTTTTAGGAAAAATGTGTCACTTTTCTTATAATTAACTAACTTACCTAACTTCCTTAATCTAATCAAATTAGTTAAATGGGTCTTATATTAAGAACCGGATGAGTATTAAACAAGAAAACGATTTTTTAAATTAAAGAGTCAATTTTCACTACAACGGGAAGAAATAGAAGAAACAACACTCAACAAACATGAATTTAAAAAAAAAAAAAACGTATGCTGACTTGACTTCTAGTTCGATGGTTATTTTGAATTTAACTAAGAGATATCATAACTTTCCAATCAAATAAATCAACAGAAAAATTTAAATTCTTACAATAAATAATCTCAGATAATATAACATTGCCAACTATATACGCTAACTATAATGATTTCTACATACAGTTCTAATAATTTTCAAAGAAATATGTTAATTTAATTCTATTTAAGTATAAAACAGGCCTAATAACATCATTTGTTTTTTAAAAAAAAGGTAAATAAATTATTCTTTCACCTTTAATTAGTAAATTAGTTTTTAATTATATTTTGTTATAACAGTCAGGATCATGAAACAGTAACGATAATGACAAATCCCCATATTGACACATTCATTTGTATTCCTATATATTCAATTAAGTAATTACTACAAAATCCAGATATGCAAACGGAAAAGAATTCAACTTTACATATTCAACTTCATGTCAAAAAAATCCAAATCTCAAATCTTACCATTCCCATATCTTCATATATAATTACACTCACACACCTACACACATATATATATTGGCCCTCATGATTGAAATTCATCAATACATTAAGAACTTTCAATCACAAATGAAAATCCTCTACAAGGTTTATCAAGTGCTGTTAAAGCCATGGTTATCATTGTTGAAGAACAAGAGGAAGAAGATTCAAAAAGGTTTCGTCCCAATCAATGTGGGTGAAAAGGAGGAAGAAATGGTTCGTTTTATGGTTCCAATATCTTGTTTTTCATCAAACATGTTTCAGATATTCTTGGATGAATATAAGGATTACGTTCAAAGCATAAGCCAAGGTCCTATACGCTTGCCCTGCTGCGTAATAAGGTTCGAGAAAATGCTTTACACTATTATCAAAGACGATAATGTCATTAGTAGAAAATAGTGACAAGTTTTACCCTACTAGATAAAGTTGGTTAAGTCATTAATCAATTCTTTATATTTATCATTTATTACTAGATATAATTGATAACTTTCTTAGGTGTTCTCTTTATTGATGTTTATATATATTGTATTTTAGCATATTCTAAATTCAAATTTCTATTATTTTTCTTAATTATTTATGCCATATTCTTTTGAGTTTATGTATATCATCCCTGTTTCAGATACGCACTTATTCTTACTGACAGTAATTTTATCATATTTGGAGTTCAAGAGAAAATTGTATTGTATAGGATATAACACAATTTCAATTCCTTGTATATTTTAGTTCAATTTATGGTAATTTGAAAAAAAAAAATTTTAATTATTATCTTCCATTCTTTCTCACATATCGCTTAAGACGTTTAGTTCATGTCAATATATAGACAAACAAGCTTTCCGAGGAGACGTTGCCCAACAATAGCTAAGATAAATGAATTAATTTACTTAATTTTAAATTATATACAAAAACATTTTTTTAGCAAAAAGATTACATACAAAGACTACATCGAATTAAGATTATAAGGAACACATGATTAATTTCTCCAACATGGCAGTACAAAGGCTAAAAGCAAACGAGGCATTCATTTCCTAATGAGAGTAGACATAAATACGTGATTTCATGGACACTTTTACAAAATATACATGCCCCTTCACAAAATTTTTCATGGGAGCATAATTAAGTCAACTCGAGATACTTATCTTACAATGATTGGCAGAAAGATCTAGATTATCATTTTAGCTCTGTAAATGTGGGGTTTGCACGTCTATATGTTTACTCAGAATTTCTCTGAGATACTCAGCTTGTTCGAATGACCCTTGAAGTTCCTCCCACTACAAGGAAACAAAAACAATGTTACCTTATTTTTCTCAGACAAAATGATTATCACCGTTAAATATCAAGTTCTTCAACTTGTCAAGTTGACAACCAAACAACTACATTGCCGTATAATGCATATGGAGCTGCTAAAACTTTATCTCATCATGAAATAGAATGATTGGTGTTATTTAATAAGCAAGAAATCTAGCATGGAGCATTGCAACATAACATACAAAAAACTGAATTGTTCGTGTAATGATAGGGAAATGATATGGGAAGCTGAGTGGTTAAGCTGGTTATTATCACCTACCAAGCTAGGAATGGAAGTTAGTTGATGAACCTAATCATAAAAGGGTCAAGCATTGGCAGGACAGGCAGTTTAATTGATTGATTAAGTTTTCTTCTCGAATCTCTTCCTCTCTTTCTTCTCTTTTCTATCTTTCTTTATAACATGTAATTTCATGTCATCTTCTATTTAAATGTCTGGAATGAGTTGAGCATAGGCACTTCTTTGTTTTTGAAGCGTCCCAGCTGGTCAGCTTTCGTACTCGTTAACAAAGATAAAATGGGACAGATGCAAATAAAGGATTATGATAGTCAATCTCTAATCACATAATATCATAAATTTGCAAAGAAACTTTGGTTTGGGTTCTGTATACAGACTGTGTTAACACAATACAAACTAATCTAGTGTATGGTAGCAACTAGCAAGCAAGCAATTCAGTAATAGAAGCATATTAACATATAGATTCAGGACCACAGAACCCAAAAAATGGTGTTATACATTCTACTTCATTTCTGTTCTCTAGATTATATTGATCCCAATTCTCAATTTTCTACTAAAAAACTATCAGTATGGTAGAAGTAAGATAAATAATTACCAAGAAATATAATATGTAAGAAATTACCTGTTGAAGAGACAATGATACAACTT